GCAGATTCAGTGCCGTGGCGTTCCTTATATGCAGATTGAAAAGGTTCAGTTAAGCTATTGTCATTTAAATAGGCAGTTAGTTGTGAAGTCGCCACTTTCTCGCAACACTTCGAAACAAACGGAAGATTCGATATAGGTCTATAGTTGAGCAGTTCTTCATGGTCCAAAGAGGACTTCTTAAGTAAAGGTGAAACAACTGCTTCTTTCAATGATGTAGGGAGTATAGAAAGTTCCAAARATAGGTTAACAATACGGGTGATTACAGGATACAACAAATCAGTACACTCCTTCATGATGGAAGCTGGAATTGGATCAAGCACACAAGATTTGACAGCGGACGCACCAACATAGGTTGACAGCTCCTCAACAGCTCCTCTTTAATGGATGAGCATATTCAGATTAAACACAGCTGGCCCACTTTTTCACTCACACACATTGCCACTACATTTAATAATAAATCAATCAGCTCGTGAGAGATTGTTGCTCAGCCAATAAAAATGCCTGGATGCGGTACCGTCATAGTCACTGAATGGCATGGCACGTCAATACCTTTTATTTTTCGTCGTACGAGATTCACTTTTATCAAGGCCTTGCATTCTAACAAGGAACTACCCTCGAATAAAATGATAAACAAAATATTCAATATTGATCCTAGAACCAGCTTTGCATCGTGCAGAATGAGTAGTGGTCAAAGATTTTCCTAGTGACATTTTTTCCAAAATGTCTTTCTTGAATTTTTGGGATTTTTTTAGTTATTTTACTCAAAAGAGCTGATAATTTTGGAATTATTGATAACATTGTCCGTTCTTGTTATCTTATTGGTCAAACAAAACGTTTCCTAGTCTTCAAATGCAGCTGGAAGAAGATTTTACTCTTTGGATTTTGTTCGCTTACAGGTGGCCCGAGTAATGAGCAATTTTTGATCCACCTGTTTGATAACTTTGTGTATAAATTATCAACGACAAAGCTTGCAGCTGATAGGATAACTCTTGGTATAACGGCTCTTGTTCTTCAAAACATTTAAATAATTGATTATCCACTGGTTAATGTGTTAATTACTTAGCACAAAAAAACCCTCTTTTGACGCAATTTGATCGTAGAGTGTTAATCTTGAATTAACGTTGAATCCGCTTCAATGTGAGAAGCTTTTATTGACTGGAATATAAAGTATGGTCGATTGAAAAGATCATTTAATATCATCCGCACTGAACTTTCAAAGGTGTCAAGAGACAGTTACTATTTAACTGCTGCAGGATTCAAAGTGTATAATGGATAGATTCACAGGTGTTCTCCAAGCTGTACTGCCGAAGTCTCTCACGAGGCAGAAGAAGACCAACCCACCTTATGATCAATATAGCCACGTACCGAAAGAAGAGGAATCTTTCACCGAAGAAGATTTCGAGTTTGGGGGAAAAGCTTACACGTTAGGCGTGGACAACGATGACAAGACGGAGGAGCAGACTAACGAAAAAGAAGGAGCAAAAGAAGAAAGGGAAGAAATAGATATTAATGAGAAAAAAGGAAAGACCTCAAGCCTGCAAGCTGCCTGGAATATTTCTAATCTTATACAAGGTAGATTTATTTTCAACTTGAAAAACTAAGAAAAAACATTTATTTTTCATTTTAAATGAATTCATTTCATTTTTTTGCGAGTATCTTTTTCTTTTTTGTGTTCTCATTCGTCCAACTAAACTAACATCTAAAATCTTTTCTGTTGATTAAAAAACCATCATCTGTGACGTCATGGGTGTAGATGATTCAAAGCTAAAAGCTGATTGGTGTTTCCAGATATCACAAAAACCTCATCCATATCATCCTGCAAAGACATTCATATTTAATCAATACCTTGAAACAACCTCTGGGCTGATCAAAGGCAGGGCAGGGTAACTCATAGATCGAACCCCGAAACAACCTCTGGCCTGATAAAAGGCATGGCACGGTCAATCGCAGATTGAACAACCTTTGTACTAATCTGCTAGCGGGTCATGGCATGACTAAAATACAATTCCATCTGGGGTTAGTCGTGCACGGACTTTAATTAGCCCAAAGTTTGTTTCAGAGTATCGTTAAGAGTTGTAGTTTTTTGAAAAGAAAGAACAACATGAATGAACTTAAACAAATCCTACTCCGCAGAGTTTTGAAATGGGGAAAAAATACGCCTAAAGTAAAAGTCTTTCATTTTTTAATAAGTACAGCATATAAATATTGATTCTATTTTTGTCTTTTTTCTTTGAAGGTACAGGCACCCTAGGCATTCCTTATGCCGTGAGTAAAGGAGGCTATCTGTCTCTTGCTGCAATCGTCCTTATCGCTGTTGTTACTAACTACACGGGAAAGTTGATCGTCAGGTGTTTGTATGATGCACCAGTGGCACCAGATCAGGGAGAAAAGGGTCGGCGAATCAGGAAAAGCTACGCAGAACTGGGTATGTTTATTTAAAGTTTTGATCTCCCTTGATTCGAGCCGGGATGGTTTCAGAAAATTATCTTCGGTTTTCCGGACGTATCTTACCCGTCCACGTCATGGAGGCCGTCTTGGTGGCCGGCAAGCATTAGATATTAAATATATTTACTGATTACGATACCAACATCGCCGACATGTGTGCCTTTTGAAATTTGTATGTACATGTGTTCACTCCAGGAGGTGAGAGTCCGTTGGCCACAGATTTAAAAAAATCACTTTCTTATAGTGGGATACAAATTCAGTCGGCCTACTGACGTGACAGTCACACACACACTTCCATAGAAGAACGTAGACTACAAAGAATACATGACATGACAGAATATTGCTAGCAACGTTTCTCTGCAATTTTCTTTGTTCTCATTGATCTTTAGATCTTCCTTCTCATTGTTCTTTAGGTACATACGGTCACTATAAATAATGATATTCAAAGATAAGCTGGTCATGTCACTAGTATTCAGTGGATCGTGTTTTGTATACTGGTGATCTCTAAGATTTTTCGTGAAAACAGAACGTGGACGTGGTCCATTTTTCACCACTCGGATTTTGAATTACGCCTTTAACTCATAGGACTAAAATAGTCTTAAGATCCAGAAGTTACTTAATAACATGTCGTATTCTAATAGTATTTACCAAGGGGAAAAAGCGTTATTTTATTCTTCCTTGGGGATGGATGTAAGGTTTGCCTATCTGTCTGTCTTTGAATTTGAAGCACTGTTGATGTAACATTGATTCATCTTTTATTTCCAGGTCATTCATGCTGGAAGCGAAATGGAGCCCTCCTAGTATGCGGCGCACAAGTCCTGCAAACGACGTGCGCATGCATACTCTACGTATTACTAGTAGCAGATTTCTTCAACGATGTCTATGAAAAAAGACCCATCTCGCTGACGGCCTGGACCGTCCTTGCAGGGCTGTTGCTTCTTCCTTCCGTCTTTATCAACCAGTTATCTCGAATCTCCTGGTTGAGTATGTTCAGCGTCTTTGCTCTGTTTGTGGTCTTTGTGACCGTTATGGGGTATGGGCTTACACAGAGGCACACCTGGAGTGTTCACATGCCGCTGTCTACTTTAGAGGGGTTTCCAGTAGCTTGGGGCATCATTCTGTTCAGCTTCGTCAGTCATCCCTATCTCCCAGGAATCGAAGAAAATATGGCTTCCCCTGAGTCTTTTGACTCAGTTATGAACTACTCATCCTGCATTTCAGCGATCACTAAGGTGGCTTATGGATTCATAGCCGTCCTGACCTTCAAGGACAGCACCAAGCAAGAAATATCCGAGAACCTCCCACCTGGGGTACTCGAGAACTCGGCCAACGCCCTTCTGGGTCTGAACGGATTGTTTTCCTTTGCTCTTCCTTCCTTCACGCTGTTCAATATCTTAAACAAAATGAAGTTATCATGCCTACCACGTTGTTTCCCTGACGACGACAACCCCTTGAGTCGCCTGGAAAAATTCCAAGTTTATACCCTGCGAATGTTATTCGTTGGTGTCACAGTGTTGATCGCTATTTTGATCCCCGAGTTTTCTCTACTGATGGCAATAATTGGTAGCCTCTCTGGGGTTTGCTTGAGTCTGATATTCCCGCCATTGTTTTATATCATCCTTAATCTTAATCGTATCAGCGCGGCTAAGTATGTCATCAATATTCTGATCGTTTGCATCGGGATTCTTAGTGGGGGTTTCGGTTTGGTTTTCTCTGTCATTGCTTTAATGAAAGTTTATCTTCAAGGTACTTAAAAAGGTTAACTGTTTTGGAAGGACTTTAAATAATACCGTTTCTCTCCCTACTTTTTTATGGTTTCTTGTTGTTACTTCATTTGGTTTATTTCTCATAGTTTTATTCCTTTTTGTAAAAATTAAAAAAACTTTACCTTCGAAAGGCTTTCTTTTTCTCTTGCGATTTCACGTCGCACATTTCACAAATTCTTTCATTTTACTCCATGTCTCTTTTCTCTCTTTCTTTCTTTTCTTTTCCTTTCTTTTTTCTTCATGTTTGCTTTTGTTTTGTAAATAAAGCGTTTTCATAAATAATTTGTCGGCTATCCTTTTCTATTTTTTTTTTATATCCTACCGATTAATTGATAAAGTAAAGATTGCTCATTCAATTCTTTCTCGATTTACATTCCTTCATTTTACTCCAAGTCTCTTTTCTTTCTTTTTCTTTCTTCTATTTCTTTCTGTTTAGTCCTTTTTTTTTTTTCCTTCTCTTTTCTTTTATATCAATCTATTTGGAGCAAAACGTTTCAAAACAATATGCCAGTAATCCTTTATTCATTTTTTTTTTTTCATTTTTACATCGAACTTTTTTTTCTATTCTAAGGAATTTTTAATAGCAATTTCTTGTTGCAGTAGAAAATATTAACTATATAATTTAGCCCAAAATGAAACCTTCCTTCTACATTTTAGACACTAAAAAGATTAATTATCAGTTCTAGGTTGATTCAATCTACGCTTTATTTTTCTAATAGGCAACCTCTTACAATATACTCTTGACATACAGTTGCCATTTAAGTCTGTGACTAGCATTATGTTTACAGTTTTTCTCTGTGATGCCAAGACCTTAGAGATATTTTTTTAGATCGCATGCTCTGACGTCATTAACGTTAGCAATCTTCTACGCATGTCCAAAGTCTCTGGGCGTAGTTTTACTTTCGATTTGGTTGAGTCTGTAGTATGATGTTAATCCTGTTGTGGTTCTCCATTTTTCGCAGTGTCCTTTCTTAGGTCTCTTCTAAAGTTCCCTGAAGTCTGTCTTGCATTTCGTTTTGTACTGGGTGTATCTGTGTAGGTCTGTCTCGAGAGCATCGAAGAACCAGTTTCAAAAGAGCTCTCCTGAAATCTCTTATCCGAAAGACGTATATCACAGGATTGACAAGGGAATTAGTCACGACCAGGAACACGCAAACCAGATGAGCTTCATTAGGTACATACACCGAGTTAGAAACCCGAAAAAGAAGGAGAAACCCCAGTGGGAACCAGGTCACTACTGATGCCACGGTCACAATGAACAGGGTCGTTGCAAGTCCCCGTTCTTGCCTTGATATCCGCTGACCAGCCATCTGCCGGCGCTCGAACTTGACCTTGATGTAGATGACGATATACGATAGGCATAAAACTAGCAGTATCAAGCACGACCAAACACCTGCTAGGTAGAAACTGACTTTTCCTGCGTCTTCAACTTGTGTGTTTATCAGGGCACCGGACATGGTTATCATAAGGGTCAGTAACCACGTGCTCGTGATGGAAATCACAAAAGCCCAAGAATCGACGCTGCGATGACRTAATGGCCAAAGAGTAGCGCACATCCGCTCTACTGCCACCAGAGTCAGCGCGAGTATAGTCGCATTGGCTGTGAAAGTTTGTATACTTAATTGGATTTTGGCAAAACTCTTTCCGAAGTTATCAAAAGTTTTGTTCAAAATGGATTGCAATCCGAAAGTCGCCATGGCAGAGATGTTGACGATCAAAATCCCAAGCCCCACCAGCATGTCAGCAACGGCCAGGTTCATGACACAGTAAACACTTCGCTTACGTAGATGTCTGTTGATAGTGAAGGTGATGATGGTCAGGAGGTTGGCGAGGAAGACTGCAAAAGCTTGGATAAAATACGTTGTTGTCCACAGAATGTCTGCTGTCTTACTCCCTGCGTCGGTAAAGAATGACTCGGCTGTTGAATTATTCATCGCGCTGGGTTGATAACTAAGTGTGAAATAAAGGCATAATATTTAACTAACTATGGAAAATAATCTGGGAAGAAGTGGCGTTTCAATAATGCACTCGCCCTCCACCTATGCATGGGGTCTCAACTTCGATTCTCAGACTTGGCATCACATGTGAGCAGAGCTCTTTGGGTCACTCACTTAATTCACTTTAGAATTCCCCCGCGGATTCTTTGCTGTGGCCAAAAATTCATTTTAATTCCCATTCATTTTAAATCCCATCCCGTCCCTTGACTTAGATCAGACTTGCAAAAGAGTTCCATAAAATTTAATCTTTCTTTAAAAAAATAAAAAAGGTCGAAGAACACTAATTTTAATTTCTATATAATACTTAGGTATGTATGAGAAATACCATCGTTTGAGTAGGATTAACAAAAACGTCTACACGTATTTTATGTAGTGACTTAATATCACGAATGCGCGTGTTGCACGAGTGTGCTATCAATCTATACGATTTTATTTCTCTTCGATTTTTCAAAACGCAAGGTGGGATTTCCTATTCATAAGACATTTACTAAAAACGTGTTAATTATGATATATAAAACAGCGGAAAATTTTGGTTATCATTCAAACCGTGCATGTAATTGATTAATTGCACACATGGAGAGAAAATTGAGGGCCTAACAACCAATCAGATTTTATCGCAGTTGCTCAGCTGGCGTAATACTTTACTAATATAAATTTCATTTATTTGTTTATCCACGTCAATGGCCTTTTACTTAAACACAGATGGCGAAATTCTGGTAACGGATAAAGCCTAAAAGTAAGCTTGAGATCTACAAATAATATTGCTTAGAATTTTCTTTTCACAGATTCTGGAAAAGAATGCCAAAGATATAAAAATGTTGTGGAAGAAAATCTTTTGGCAAAATTTGAATTTTTAACTCGGAATTCAAACTAGATGTACGGGTGAGCTGAAGCAAAACAATAAGAAAAGAAAGATTTATTAATGTCAAAATAAACTCAAAAAGAAAATGGCTTCTTCTATCAAATTCAAAATAAACTTGAAGTTTTGCAATTCTAGAATGTTGTGCTTTTAAATAATTTAGCCCACGTAGTGAATCGAACAAAAAAGCAAAAAAGGAATAAGGAAAAAAGGAAAACTTATATGACTTTTGGTTGGCCATTATTATCGTACAAATGAATATAGGCAATATCGCTCTCAAGTTTACATTTAAACCGATAAAGTGAAATCGAAAAAGCCACAGCCCTTTTCTCACGGAAAGCGCAAAAACTGGCACTTGTCATTTTCTACTGTCTTTTCCTTACTATCTTTTTCCTCATACAGTCTTTAGTTTTATCGAACCCTGAAGCAACCTTCATGTTATTCACTTTCGATCAGGGCATGGGAAACTGAACCCAGATATCGAACCCTGAAACAATCTCTGGGCTGATCCAAGTGCACACGGCTAACTCGCAGATAGAATCGAAACTTTTGTAAAGGAAGGAGGTGTTAGTCACATTAATGGCAAATCTCAATCGCTTAGCAACATTTTAAAATGTAAGTAGAACTCACCTTTTGAGATTCACGGCGCTGATCGTGGTAGTACTGTAGTTCTTATTATTGAGCCTTATTTATCTGGTTGGAACGAAGGACAGCATCAAACGGCTGGATTTTTTCCTGCCAGGCACTCCGACGACCAATTAAATCATTGAATGGAATTATCTAATCGTTACCGGCGGTATACCTTAGAACACTTGAAAAACTTTGACAGCACTTTACGCTTAATCAGTTTTCATTCGCGATTCCGTGATTGAAGACCACAAAATTTGAAATTCCTACTTGCCGAAAAATTTTATATCCGACTTTTCAAATTTACTTGTCATCATTTCATGATAGATTTTTGTTTGAGAGTAATACAGCTGCCTTGTAAACTCGACACTGCTCACAGGTATAGTCCAGCTAGGTTCACTGGCATTGTGCAGTTTTTTTTAATGAATTGCGATAGTCTAACAATTATCGGTGAGTATTTACTGAGCCGCCAGTCTTGAAATACTCACTATAATCACTGAGCCTAAGACGAGGTGAATAGGTCTATGACGTGTTGCCTCATGGAGGTCTATGGCGTGTTTCCTCATCGAGGTCTATGAGGTATTACAAAATATAACTGCTCTAAATCTCGCGTTCTGATTGGTTGGGAGCGCGTGCTTTTTGAGAGCACACAGCACGCGCGCGCACTTTCAGTTTCGTTATTCAGAAATAAAAAACTTGCTTGCTGTGCTGTGTGCAGTTATAAAGCACTTTTGGATTGGCAGAACACTCGAGAAGTGTCGATAAGCACTCCGCTACGCGTCGTGCTTCTCCTAACACTTCTCTCGTGTTCTGCCAGCTCCCGCGTGCTTTATAACTGCACGCGCGTGCGTTTTCTATTTCTTCATTACCTCATCAAGGTCTATGACCTGATACCTCATCAAGGTCTATGACGTATCAAAGATTGGCCTATTGTTTGGTTGCAATTTTGAAGTGCCAATTCATTTAAGCGACCGCTATCTAAATCGGCAGTGGACTAATATCCGCTATTGTTTGAGTTCATTGAGGTAATTTGGAATGAATTATCAAGTGCCAATATTCCAAAAGCCGATTCTCACCCGAAGGAGCCCGGGCGTCGGATTACTATTCTTCGATCAATCTTTGGACGGTCGATAATTGCTGTGGGGTCCCCCTAAAGCCAATGTAGGCGTACTGTGGTGGTTCCCCTAAAGCAGAAATGACTAGGCCCTATTGCCTAGAGTTTTTTCTATAGATCGGTTTCAACCTCCTTGACAACCACCTTGACAACCGAACTTCGAGAATTTAGTATAGAAATATCACATTCTTTGTTAATAAACCTTTACTTTCACTTTTTACTGAATCTAAGCTTTCCAATGAAGTCATTTTTTTTCAAATGTTATCTAGAACAGAAATTAAGAGAAGTCATTTTGATGGTACACGATCTATGATACCAACTTTAACTTCGGCCTCATTCCACTTCATGTCAGCTATCACTAAAAACTTTTTTCCAACTTATTTCGCAACACCAGAAATATCATACTCTTTTTCACTTGAACCTAAGCTTTTCGATGAAGTCAATTTTCAGTTCAAGACGTTAACTAGAACTGAAATGAAGAGAAGTATCATGGAGTTCTATGACGTGTTATCTCATCAAGGTCTATGACGTGTTGCCTCATGGAGGTCTATGAGGTGTTGTCTCATGGAGGTCTATGACGTGTTGCCTCATCAAGGTCTATGACGTGTTAACTCATCAAGGTCTAAGAGGTGTTGTCTCCTCAAGATCTATGACGTGTCGTCTCATCAAGGTCTATGACGTGTTGTCTCATTAAGGTCTTTGACGTGTTGCCTCATTGAGGTCTATGAGGTGTTACCTCATCAAGGTCTATGACGTGTTTCCTCATCAAGGTCTATGACGTGTTACC